AAATTTTAAAATGAAATATGATTCAGGGATTTCAATGAAATGAATGTATTTTAATATACTTTTCCCTTAGTCTGTGTTTGGTGTGAAGGAAAAAATAGGGAAATGAAGGGAAAAGTAGAAAACCCTTTAGGCTCCGTTTGATTTGTGGGATGGAGATGAGAAAAAATGAACATTCTAAAAATATTCTTTTTTCTCATGTTTGTTTTGAGGAAAAAAGTGGGATGGGGAGAGAAAAAGTGGGATGCCAGATCTCAAAATCAAGGATTTGGGGTCGCATCAAAACCGTACAATCCCGGTGGAAAAGCTCGAGAAAACTCGAGATCGCCTTCATCCTCGCTGCCGTTGTCGGTAATTGCCACCACCTCCAGTAATAGATCGTCTTCATCCTCCCTATTGGTTTCGTCTTCTTCCTTCAGCTCGAGATGCATTATCGTAGCTGCCCAAGTAAAGAAACCCAAGCAAGACCTCCGATAGAAAAGCACTTGTTTGAATGTAACAAAAACAACACGAGCACAACAAGAGTATAGCAAGACCAAAAGACGAATTAAATGCGCTTCGATCCAACAGAGATTAGCTCCACCATCAAAATCCAATTTTCCAGCACCAGAGTTTCCATCATCAAAATACTAGATAGAATAGGTAGGTAGAGGCTTTTTCTTGATTGTCACCAAGTATCTCAACACCAGAATTTCTCCGATTTTCCAATATCTATAGAGTGATCGTTCATTAAATGCTCTCTCTCTCTCTCTCTATCTCTCTCTCTCTCTCTCTCTCTCTCTCTTAGAGTCTTTCCCAGAGAGTACCTTGAGATGAACGACGCTAGTTGTTCTTTTTTTTTGTTGTTTTCTTCTCGTTATGTTGTCTAGGTGTGAAAGTCTGCAAGAAACATCTCCAATCACTCAAACGTCATTACTCGTCGACAACATATTGACACTCTCCGATGGTCGAATCTTGGAGTAAGAAAGGATGTCGTTCAATCGGCACTAGCTAGAAACCAACAGTGGCAGAAGGTAGAAGACGAAATAGATCCGATGCTGCTGTTACTAGATCTGCCACTACTGGTAACACCGTTGATGACGATGGTAGGCATTCACAGGTGATGAAGGCGGATTGAACCCCCGAGATCTCTATTTCGTCTTCATCCTCCCCCTGTGGATTGAACCTCCAAGACCTCTGTTTTGTCTTGGATAATTTTCCTTCTATTTTCCCACGTAAAACCAAACATTGGAAAGTTAAATTTTTACACTTTCCCATCCCATCCCATCTTTTCCAATCCCACCCAAATCCTCCCATAAAACTTGTATAGGTTTCCCTACCTTTCCCTTCCTTTACCTACTTTTTCCCTCAAACCAAACATAGCACTAGAAATCAATGGGAGGTTAGAAAGTTGAGGGTTCAAAAAAACCATGAAAATTCCATGTAAACAAAAGTTCACTTCGATGCAATGACCTATGAAGTGGGCTATAATAACTAAGGGCTACAAAATGAATGTTGCTATTTTCATTTGTTTATAGAATCGCCACACCAGCAAAAAACAAAAACATTAACTCTATTTTTGTTTTCAAAGAAAAAACAATTTGGTTTGTTTCAAAAAACGATACATGTTTTTAGAATCAATAAAATATTGGTTTTTAAAACAAATACATATTTCTACTATAGAAATTATATAATTTATAGAACATCACATGCTGTTGAACAATCAGATCAAAACATGTTTTTGAAAACAGAATCAAGAACATATTTTTGGTTTCAGTTTTGAAAACAAACACACAATCACAAATATGTTTTTTTGTATTTTTATTTTAAGAAACAATCTATTTTTAAACAAGATGATTTTTTTTTTTATTTCTTTTTAAAACCTGCAACAATAAAAACAATTCACATGTAGAACACCATTTTAAATTAATTTTGCTACTTTAATATGGATCCAAAGTGGGCTTCTATAATGCTTCTCTTCATTGATTGAACTAGCCACACTATTAGCTGGCAATTTGGTCTGGTTTTTATTAAAAAAGGGCCGACCTCCATTTATTTGATGAAACCTGATGATATATTGTGTTTTTTTAGTACCATACAAGTTTTGGTCAACCTCGATTAATATTGATGAACTTGTTGACATTTTGATAACTTATTTTTCAATGTTTAAAATTCCCTTTATTTGTTTGTAGGGATTCCTTGTTGATGTTAAATGCTGTTAAATAATGACTATTGAATAATCTCCCAAAATTAATTCTAAAAAACTGCAGTGAATTAATGAGAGATGTAACAATTTCAGTTCATTGTTTAAAGTATGTTAATGGGGAAGGGACCGCCACCCCATGATACTAAAAATCAATGAGAGGCCAGGTGGGTCCATTCATTAATCAGATGGCTGAAAATTATATGAGATTTCTTAATCTATTTGATGGTGGGTCCAGATCCTATATACATGGGACACATGAATGCAGTAATTAAGAGAGTATCTTCATTGTAGACTGGCCCAAAATCAGACCCTATATTTGAGACATCTTCATTAATAATGTGTTATATCACTTGCTACACTTTCCCATTTTATCATTGTTTTATAATATTTAGTCTGCATTCTACTATTCAAGGTTATGTATTATTGCTACCATTAATTAAAATTTTTAATATATATTTATATATATAGAGAGAGAGAGAGAGCTTGAAATTAAAGGAAAATTATTTAAAAAGTACAGAATAAACAGGAAAAAAATGCTGGCAAAGAAAATAATTGAGATTCTGGTTTCTGATGCAGAATTTCATCATATATCTTTGAACCCATATTTGGTGGAATTTGTTCACAAATTTCCTTGTCCAGAAATCATTTTCAGAGCTGATTGATAAGATTTGATTCTCATATGCATGGCCTTTCCACTTTGTTCATTAAGCTAGCCTTTGTCCTGCACCTCCCACCACTTGCCAAACTGAGCTCGAAATATCTGACATAGGGTTCCAATTATCACACATCACCATCCATTTGGCCAGAATAAATCAATAACCATCATATAGAGAAGCCCAAGGACCCCCTCTTTTGAATTTTGATTTCTTTCTCCCTTAAAAATATCTAGCTTGAGGCTGAGGTGAAGTGGATTGATTTGAGGCTCTAATAGTTTGCCACGTGTTGCATACATAAAGAACCAGGCCCAGATTGAACTGGCTCCCGGCCTACCTGGTTCAACCCATTGTTATAGGCTTATAGCCTTAAAAGATTCTGGCTGTCTCGGTTTTTATTGGTCAGGGAATGGTTTGGTTTCATATGACCCGGGTTCAACCTATGAGAGAAGTTCTACTTCTATCAAGTGCTCTCAAGAAAATAATTTGATCAGGTTAGTTTTTGGTGCAGGAGAAATGTTTTAAGCTTTAGCTTTTAAATTTTTAATAAGTAGATGTGGGCCCAAATGGGCCTCCTGACCCAAAGCCCACCAGCCCTTTCCGTTGATGAGAATAAAATATTGTCACTGTCAGCTGCTGTACAACCTTGGCCCAACACCACCCACCGGTAGAAAAAAACTTGACCAATTGATGCTCGTAGGACCTGCAATTCAACACAGTGGGCATACCTGACCTCACCAAACCAAACCGCCATAGTCGTCGGGAACCGGGTCACACTAAAACCAATACATTTTCCAGAAGCAGAAAGCTTCCGACTCAAGAGCCGGGCCCACTCAACGAACAGTCCAAACGCTCAAGTCCGAACCAGTTAATTCCGTGGGCTAGCTCAGTCTACGTGCGACAAACACCACCAGGCCTTCAGTGGCCCCATCCTCTCGATGGGCCAACATCATCGCTCCGATCAGGATCGTGCGGCTGCTGCCGAGCCCAATTGATCACCTGCATCACATCACACACAGTAAAATGTAATAGGACAAACTTGATTAAGGGTGACCCAACTTGCATAAAACGAGGGAAAAGGTAATCAAGAAAAAGACCCCCACTAATATTTTGAGTTTCTTTCTTGTGGGACCCCCTTTAAACTCCAATCATTCGGATTTACACAGAGATGGCACCACCCCTTTTCTTTTCCTTTTCTTGTGGGCTCATAATTAGGGCTCGTTTACGCTAATGTGCGCCCTGAATTAGGTTCCTGCTAGTGTGCGCATCGCGTGAGAGCCCTCGCTCGCCCTCGGCTCCGAGAACGTAGAACGAGGCGTTATTATTTTCTCTTGCCCGTTGCGTGCCACGTATCTATAAACGACAAAAGGCTCTGCGGCTGTGGTGTGCAGGAGACTAGGATACACGTGTACGGGCAGCCTGGGCAGATGCCCGCCATTCTCGGGCAGGGGTCGTGGGCCGGGGGAACAATAACGTTGGAAGGGGGAGCGCACAAATGAAGGCCCAACCCAAAACGGTGGGGAACGTGGGGCCCACACTTGATGGTTTCTTTTTTTTTTTTCCTTCTGCGGAGTGGGCCGTGGGCGTGCGTGGGGTCAGTTGAAAAAACTACGAGTTCGAGAGGGGAAAACGACAAAAGCGTCCGGCAAAAAGCGAGAGAAGGGTGACGACATAGTTTTGGGTGGAGTTAGTTTTACCGAGTATCCCGGTTCATGGGAATTCACCCGTACAATTTGGAAATCGGGAGGGCCGGTTGATCGGTCATGACTCCTGAGTGAGGTGGGCAGCTCGTGGGGAGAAAATGAGAAATGTGGACAGTTGGAGACTTGTGGAGAACTGGATTCGGATTCTTCTGTTTAATTTAACATCCTCCGTTTTATTAAAATAACGAGATTGCCCTTGTACTCTTCCTACCTAAAAGACAAAGAATGCCATCTTCGTAAATTTTGGAAGAAGACAAGGGCAATTCGAGGGAGGGGTCTTAAAAAATCGATGCAGGTTTAGTAGCCAGTGGATTAATGCAGGGAATCCAGAAATCCGCCGGTGGTTTGTAGAGCCCAAGTGCGAAAACTACTAACTAAGAAAACCCACTACAGTCGGCCCAGGCCCACCATTTCTTTCTCTTATCTTACACTCACCAACTTCCTTTATAAACACATCCACTCCTCCCTTCCTTCTCACCTCTCTCTCTCTTTCTCTTTCTCCCTTCTCTCACTCGACTATCTGAGCACTCAGCGCAACTTAGCAAATTAAAGGAACAGCGAAAAGCCACCGGCGACAGTAATGGATTCGTGCACCGTGAGAAGGCCTGCTTTCTTTGAAGACGACGACGGTCTGGCCTCGATTGTGAACATGGAAGCTGGGTTCTCGGGAAGTCACCCTCCCGTCACGTGTTACGGCGTTTCTAAGCGGAGAGGTAGTTACAGGGCTCTTTCCTCTTATTCGTGTTCTTCCCCGAGATCGGGGAGGTTTTATGACGCCAGGTGCGAAGAGCACCATTTCCTCGAAGCTTGTTTTCTATGCAAGAAACCACTCGGAGATAATAGAGACATCTTCATGTACAGGTTAGCATCTTCAAAAAATAGAAAAGGACCCATTTGGGTTTGATTTGTTCTTTTAATTCTTCTTTTTGTAGTTCGTTGGTTCATGGAGATTCTAATGGGTAATTCGGGTGATATTTCAGGGGTGACACGCCATTCTGTAGCGAAGAGTGCAGGCAAGAACAGATAGAGATCGATGAGGCAAGAGAGAAGAACTGGAACCATTCTTCTTCTATGAAGATCCTCAGAAAGGATCAAAAGAAATCCTCAACAAACAAGACCCAGAATTACCCTGTGCGGACTGGCACCGTTGCTGCTGCTTAAAATCCTAGTTATGAATACTACGGCTTCTCTGAGAAAGAGAAAAGGGGCTGAACGAGAGAGAAAGAGGAGGCCCCATTTTTTGAGATATATCTTTCCTTTTTTTTTTCGTTTTCTGGTATATATTTGTGAATGTTTATAAGAGGACTGTGGTGGGTTTGTATGGTGTAAGATGTAATGGCCTTTTTTTTAATCTTTTGGGCGGAAATTTTCAAGAGAAAGAAAGGATCAAGGAAGGTTCCTCTGTGATTCCTGTTTACTTTTGTTTCTTGGTATTCATGCTTTTTCTTTTTTCTTTTCGGAACTTTCTTTAGTAACTTCGATGCTTTCAGTTTAGTTAATTTATTGGATTTCAGAGAGAGAGAGAGAGACCAACAACTCATTTAATGAATTAAGTGATTAAATACCAGGTTTTAAGAGCCCAAACTGTGGATTTGCATGGAATCGTGTGAGTGGAGGTGGAGTAATTTCTACTATTACAGAGACAGGACATAAGTAAAATATTATGAGAGCTTAAACTGTGGATTTGCATGGGATCATGTGGGGTGTAGTAATCAATTACTACCGTTACAGGTTGCAGGAGATGAGTAAAATATTCCAACACTCTTCACTTGTTTAGATTTTAAAATCATCCCTATTTTAGTTTTGACAGTGAGATCAACAGAAAGAATTCTGCATCGGATGTATCCGTAGGAGAAGAAAAAAATAAAGGGTGAATCACTGAATTGAGAAGGCAAATGCATGATCAACTCACGGTTGAATAATTGAGTTGAGAATGAGACCCAGCCAGAAGAAATAAAGATAGCCCTGGAGAAGAGAGAGAGAGTCTGGACAAAGTTTTTCAGAGGATTCCACCAGGGCTGATGAGTGATGACTGATGGATGGAGACCCACGGAGCAAATTATCAGAGTTAATGAAATGGTTCTTGGACGTTATGTGGAACGTTGACTGGACTGGTTTCACCTGTGGCCCAAAGAAGGAAGGAAGAGTAATTATCAAAGCAACTGTCAGGACAGTCTGTGACTGCATGTCTGCAACTAATTGGAGTTGTTTTGGTTTGGATCTTCTGATGGTGAAGAAAACCAAGCAAAGCAGACAGATTGATAAAGGATATTTGGTTATTGATGAATGGCCTCAGCTGATAGGCTCTGAGCTTCCCCCGCGATTTGCTCTTGGGCTCTTGGCTCTTGGGGATTCTTCAGCTGTCAGAACACTGGGTACTGGGTAGTGGGGAACCCTCTACCCTGGAAGAAAGCTCCCTTTACCCTGGAAGAAAGCAAACAAATCTGATTTCATTCTATTTCTATCATCAGAACTCATAAAAACCCTAGAAGCATTGTTTGGGAACCGATTGGGTTGACCAAGAGACTGGCTTGATTCATACGTCTCACCTAAAGAAAAAGGAATCTTCAATCTCATCATTTCCATCCCATACATCTGTCTCCATGATGAGGGCCACAGCCCACAGCCCCACAGGGTTAGGGTGGGCTTTGGGCAGTAACAAGATGATAGACGTGTGATTTGGGCCTTTGCATGCCTAGCCCATTTGAAATCAGTCTTTAAAGCTTAGGCTTTTTACACACTAAACTACTAGATAGATGGGCTGTCTGTGCTAGATAATAAAATCTAAGCCCACTTTCCATACTACAATAAATTCACCTGGGTCCTGGGCTGTGTTTTGTTTGACAGAAATATAAAGTTGATGCAAAATTTGCCCCACTTGCCTCCTACCTCAATCATCTCGCTTATAAAGTGGAGACTTACATTACTTGCTTCCTACCTCATTCCCAAACAAAGTTAAATCTAAAGCAAAAGTAGAACAGAATTTACACGGTCAATTTGCATTATTTACACCAACGCAAAGGAAATTCACACTCCAAACAAACTGAGCAAAATCTTGTATAGAGAGTGCACCTGAATGGCCGGAAAAAAGCTTGAATAACTAATGCAATCATACTACAATAGACCATATATGGCTTCATATAGCACATTTACAATAAAAAAAAAAGAGATAAATAGGGGCAATAAGCTTATATGATATATGTAAAAATAAATCCATAATGCATTTAAAATTCACAAAGGGTTTTAAAAATAAGAAGGCTTCTCTCAAGAAACCGTTGAACCTAAAAGCTTAAACTGATAGGTGAAGTCCCTGAATAGGTTTTTTATTCTTTAACACACTCCCTCACATGAAAGTCCATCGGGCTCAGGCTTGGAGTGTGGACAATCACAGACCTATCCATACTATGTGCTGAAATTTAATTATTTATAATGAGGGGTGATGAAAACCAAACACTAAACCACTTAGTGAAATAGTCTCTCGTACCATCACAAAGAAGCATTCAACTTAAAAGCTTAAATTGCTAGATAAAGTTCTGAATAAGTTTTACTCTCTAACAAACCCTTAACCAGGTCTAGTGTATGACACTTTCTTCCTATGATGCCGAGTTGATTGGTTATCAGTTTCAAGGTATCATATTTCAGTTTTGGACAACTGCATTTTATAAAATAGTATAGATTATATTACTTTTGGACTCCATTTAGAGCCACTTAGATTATGCATTGATTTCTGAAAAAGAAAGTTGGGTTGGTTTTGGAGTTGTTGTAATATTATATTTGGTTTTTGATTTTGAGAGGTCGGGATTAGATGAGAAAATCAGAAAACATCCAATATCTTGCGTGTTCAGTTTTTTCTTATCTGTATCTATGGGGTTCAAAGTTGAAACCGGCAAATACAATACATGTACCAATTAATTTAAATGCACTTTTTTTTGGGTAAAGGAAGAAAGTATGTTATTGCAAAAGTTTCTCTGTCTCTAGAGAAAACTCATCTCCCTTTCTTCTCTCAATTACCTACTCAATACAAACACGAATTATATTTTTTATTTTATTTTTAATGATGTTGATTAAAGATTTGATGGGTTTAACAACAATCGAACTATCATGACAAGCAATTATTTTTCAAAAAAAAAATTATTATGGTTTTACATTGGTGAAGACCCCTTAGGCTCAATTTGAAAGGATATAAATACAAATATGTAGAATGAAAAACCTTATATTTTGTATTATTTTATGTATTTGTACTCCTTCCAAATTGAGCCTTAATGGTTAAATCATCAAGATCGATAGATGATGATTCGATTAACCGAACTGTGTGCACCCCTAAAGATTCACTACATTGGAAAATAGTTCATGTATACATTATTGGGGGTGGTAATTAAAGAGATGCCACCCATCCTATCATTCTAAATTTCTAATACTTGTTTCAAAGTTTAGACTGTGGGCCGCCACCATATGAATGATCTTTGTGCTTTGGCATTATTTAGCCCTATCTTCATTGGCTCACATTTCATTTCATATCATATAAAATGAACAGTGTTTTCACACATTAGCATTTTGTAAAAAGATCAAAGAGGATAGAGGAAGTGCGGTGAACTTCTCCTAAAATCTAGAGCCATAAACGGTCATTACCCACTACCACTAGGATTGCAACTTGGTTGGGCCCAAGTCGATTTTGACCCGACCCTTTGCAAGGGCTAGGTTTGGCATTGAAGCCTTGTGAAGCCATAAGCCCAGCCCGACCCAATTCCGAGATGTTTAGGGTTGGGCCTTGGCTAGCCTTAACCTGGCCCGACCCGTCCAAGTTCCAATCCTATTACTCAACCCACCATCCCGAGTTCCACACTTCTTCCACTTCAAGTTTTCAACTATATAACTACATTTGTGCTCTCTCGTCGATAAGGTTTTAAAAATCAACCCAGAATCGAAACTGTTTTCGCCACCGGTTTTTTGGTTGATGGTTCGAAGAGATGGCTTGTTCCAATAAAATAATAAAATAATTAAAATAAAAATGGTAAAAAACCATTGAATTGGTTTCATTTTACCCCAAATTCAGTTTTTGGTCAAAAAACCATTGAATGGGTCAATGGTTTGATCGGGACCAATTCAACGGTTTTTTTACCAAAAACTGAATTTGGGGTAAAATGGAACCAATTGCCTAGACGGTCCCTCAGCCAAATGGTCCAACCGTCCAGGTCAATGACGGTTCAAAAACACTATTCAGCATTATATTTCACCTCTCCCCACCTCCACCAAACCAGTCTCTCTGTGATCCAGAGATATACGTGAGATGGATGGTTTGATTAAGGGCTTGATTGATGTAGCCCATGACCAAGATGACAACGACGATGAAGCCAACTCTCTGTCTCGAGAAGAGCGGCCAAGATCCACTTAGCTAGGCACAGGTGAATTCCAGTCTTATGGCCATTAGCTTTGATCCTGTTTGTGTATTATGAAGCTAAGACAATATACAACTCATAGGTGGAACAGAGAAAGGTTGGTTTTGATTTTGTGCTGAAATATGAATTGAAGTATTGAACTTAGATCATGTTTGGGAGTGTTTAAGTTAAAATAAGTGTTTACTCAAATAAGTATTTATTTGCATTTGATACATTTGGTAGTTTTTTTCTCCAATAAGCACTTAAATAAGCATTTGTGACTATTTTGTCTTTCATTTTTTTTTTAAATTTTCAAAATATACCATTGTGAAAGTACTTTTATTAAACTATTTTTATAAAAAAAACTTTTGTGAAAGCACTTTTACAAAAGTGCTTTTATGAAACCATTTTTATGAAAGCACTTCTATAAAAGTACTTTTACAAAAGTACTTTTACGAAAGGCACTTTACAAAAGTACTTTATGAAAGTACTTTCATAAAAGTACTTTTATAAAAGCACTTTTATAAAAAGTACTTTTATGAAAGCACTTTTACGAAAGTACTTTTATAAAATTTAACTAGGCATAATTTTATAAGTGGTATTTTAAAATTCAACTAGGCATAATTTTATAAGTGGTATTTTAAAATTTAACTAGGGATAATTTTGGAAGAAAAAAAATGAATAAGTGCTTATCGTATAAGCACTTGAAAAAAAACTGGAAATTTAGGGTTAAAAAATAAGCCCTTATTTTTAAAATAAGCACCTATTTCGGGCTTATTTCCCAAATACCAGTAAGTGTTTAATGGCCCAAATAAGCACTCCCAAACATTGCCTTATTCGAGAAGTGATTGTGCAGGATGAGAGTAATGAGAGGAATGAAGAATGGGAAAACGTCAGAGAGATCTAGTCCTTCGAGGCGACCCCATAAGGTTATCTTTGTTCTACACATGCGTTCCATTTTCACTTCTTCTCTGCTCTGTTAGTGATTGAAGTGTTTGGTGTCACAAGGCATGGAAAATTATAATGAGAATCAAGAAGTGGAAAAT